ATAAAGCAACAAAAAATTCAAGACTTATTATAAACTAATAAAAAACCCACTGTTAAATAACAAAACACTATGGTAAAATAGTGAAGAAGCTCACTATAAATCAACAAAGAAATTAATAAAAATGCAATGATACTAGCATTTCAAAAGATGGCAACACTAATAAGAAAATACTAGCGATAATACCAAATATGACAATACTAATAGCGGCTCCAAAAACAGCTCCAAGGTGACAACTACAAAATTCTAAAATTAAAAATAAGTAACTTTTTTATTATGCACAGATCTAAAATTTGATTGGCCCTTAGTATTTATGGTTACAAAATAATACTCCAATTCAAATTTTTAAATACTAAAATTCATAGGCAGACATTTATATGATTGGATATTTAAATCAATTTGATTTTACATTATTTATACAGTTTAAAGTACTTTTTAAAAAAAAGAAAACTATAAAGAATAAACAAAAAAATATATATAAAAAGTTTTATTAGAGTTGTAGGACTCCACTATTAAAAATAATTAAAATTCTTTTTTGTTTTAGAGAAGTTTGCATAATAGTAGCTTCTTAAAATTAGGTTATTACTTGATTATTTTTAATAATAGAGTCCTACAACTCTAATAAAACTTACTATATACTTCTTTTTTGTTTATTTTTTGTAGTTTTTTTTATTTTTTTGGTATTAAGGTGACCTTCTTTGGCCTGGGGACTTTTTATTAGAGTATAAACAGAGTTTTATAATGTAATTACAACGATGGTACATCAAGTCACACATATACCTTTTGAGTGCCTAATTTAAATAGTCTGCCCGAAGGTTCTACACTATCTGCTATACCTGCACTCCAACTATAGGGGTACCCATTTAAACCATCTAGTTCTAACTACCTCCATCAGCCCTCTAACCCTGGATATACCTCACCATTTATGTATGGATTTCAGATATTACCTAATGTGGATTTCGCACCCTACCTTAGGACTTACTAACCACACGAATTTTGTCAATTTCTATTATTAAGACTTACTAACCATATATGGCTAATCTATCCTCGAAGGTAAACCTAACAGAGCAGTACATGCCTCATATATGTATTCACCTGCATGTTCCTATAACTTCTTCTTAATTAGTACCTATTGATCTGCCATTCTGTATTAGTATCTCACACCACCTTTTGGAGTGCTACCTTTCTACAAACGTTTCTCAAGCACCAACCTTCCTAACTAGGCGCCTATTATGTACTCCTTGCCCTTATTCAGTTCACAACAACCCTGGTACCCACATTTGGACTATCTTCTTACCCGGATTCTTTATCGGTCTCTCTCTTATTTCCAGCTAGCAACTCGGATGAGTTGGTCTGCCCAGGCTTTAGGTGCCTGAAGGATGCCCTCCCCTTGGTCCATACTTTCGGAGTGTATGTCCTTTTTCTCCAGTGCATCAGCCTTGCAGTTCGGCTGGTGTGTCCCCCCCACTTAAGGATCTGATTGCTCAGTTCTCCAATCTCGGGCCCCGGTTCGAATTCAGCCCTCCTGTGGAACCGTCGAAGATCACTGCTACTTCCAAATTCGGGACTTGCCAAATGGGTTTTCGGTTATGCCGGTTTCTCAGGTTTTATTGTGTCAAAGCTCCCATTACTAGATAGTGTAACCAAGATTACAGATTTCTAGATCCAACCGATAATCACAACCGTAAACCGAAACACAGGCTATTTTTCAAAATTAATCATCCATGGGATTTGAACTCTAGACTTGCCACTTAGAAAGAGTAAGTTTTCTTTTTTTTAAAAAGTACTTTAAACTATAAATAATATAAAATTAAATTGATTTAAACATCCTATCATATAAATATCTGCCTATGATACTAAAATACAAAAAAAAAATTAAAATAAACTAAATGTATTTAGTTTTCATTATGGTAAGCATATACAATTTATTTATTCGTTACAGTTTGCAATATATATATTTTAGTAACATCAAAACTTATATCTCTTATCTATTAGACCAATATAAAATAAATTATAGTTGTTAGATAAAAACTCTAACAAAAGATAAAAGATAAATTCTAAACTCTTAAAAGATAAAACTTTAAAATAATAAAATCCTATACTCAAAATGATAAGATTTTAGCGCTCCTGCTAAAAAAACAAATAATTAAATATTAGTGCTTCTATTAAAAAAATAAATGTTATTTTTATTGAATAAAAATAAAACTTAATTTATTCAAAAATCAGTATTTAAAATTACATATAAGCAAGCATTAGCAAAATAATCTAGTTCATTTTTTTGGAGATATCACCTTGTCAAAAAGCAATAGTACTCATGAAATAGCACAGATAATAAATTAAAACAGTGTAAAACATGCAAGTGGATACTATTTTGCATTTATACGATATGAATAGTATTTGAAAACGAATTAAAAATCTTAGTTGATTTGGAATTAATCTGAATCTGTTCTAAATTCTTAATTTGGATTAAATCCAGGAGTAATCCATGCCAATCTGATAGTTAATCTGAAGTTTGTCACATAGATTTATTACAATATATGTGATAAATTTGCATTTGTCACATGATAAATTCGAATATACCACTTATGTTGTAACAATGTGTGATATATGTTTGGATTAATTATATAACAAATTTGAATTCATTACTTAGAGTAATTATATAAAGACACCTAAAATTAGGCCTAATTCTGCTTAATTCGGGCCCAATCCGACAGTTTAGAGCCAAACTTAATTTAACAGTTTGAATTCGCACAAATCTGAATCTGATCCATGCTGACTTTTTCAAACACTAGATATGAATTATATCTAGAATGATGTTTTAGAGCATATACCTCATTGTTAATTATTAAAGTTAAAAAGAAATTAAACTTATTTTAAATATCTTGACTTATGAATAATCGAGTATCTCTCAATATAATTAGCTAGTGATAAAGATCGAACAGAAATACTATGATGAATTAAAGTAATCCTTATCATAATTTTGTTAAGAATTTATATAAAATATTAGATATTAAATTTTAGTTACTCGGCACAACTCTATAAAAAAAATGATAGTCTCTGACCATCTTTTTTGTTTATTATAATAATGAACTTACTTGAATAGCTAACCTGTTTTTTACAAATTAAAAATTAAGCTCCAACCTATTCATTTATATACTTGAAAGCACTCTAAGTTGATACAAATAAAAAAATAAATATTGTAAATATGGATAATAGTAAATATTAGATAATGATATTGTTTGCAAAATTATTAAAATTATGAAAAAAACAATCATGTAGATATGCTTATTAAAAACTAGATCCAATCCTTAGATCCAAGTTCATTACGATCAAAGTTGTTTTTGCAAAGCTTTGCTCTCTCCTCAATTTAATAAAATTAGTATAGTGTATATTACTCAAAATTTTATTAGGATAATCTATTTTAATTTTTTTATAAATAAGTCTAGCATCTAAAAAAATATATAATTATATATTTTTTTAAATTATTTAAACTTAGAACATAGGCTTGGGTGATTTTGAACAATCTTGAATATTGGATGTTGGATAGTATGAACATGTCCCATATACAATACTGGCTTTATATTATACAAGCCAACCCATCAGTTAGCTAAACTGTTATTAGCTGAGCTGTGAGCTGTCATTTAGCTCAGCTAAGCTGATTGGCTAAATGGCTAAGCAGAGCTGTTTTGCAACACTAGACACTGGGAAATCCTAAAAATGTAAATTCTGAATATGTTTGCTAGGAAGCTATAGAATTTTGCACATTTGTATTTTAATATTTTTAATTGTATTAAATCACAGAATCAAACTAAATTACCACAAAATTACACAGAAATTAACTTCTTCATCACAGAATTTTACAGAATACATTAAAAAAACAACACATAACATCACAGAATTTTTCTTAACCAAAAACAGAATTTGGTTTTAACCAAAACAGAAAATCATTGTCCCTGATTTGAACATACATGTGAAGACAAAAAATTTCCAAATTACGTTTTTGATATGATCTTCATAACGTTTATGTAGATGCATCAAAAAAACAAGTGAAATGTATCAAAAACGTAATTTTTGTATCACTTAATACACTAGGGAACAGTTTTAAAAAACTGTTATAAGTCCGTAGCGAATAAACTATCGAATATAGTCACGCATCAAAAACGCAACTTTAGTCCGTGTGCGGACAGACATCCTTTTCAAAGTTATGATCTTGATTTTATCATTATGATGCATCAACATCATAACTTTTGATGCATCAAAATCGTAATATTTGATGTACTTTACTCGTCCAATATACCGTAAAATCCGGACACGTATACCCGGTGTGATGCAATTTTTCACATAGTGTAAAATTAAAAGTCACGTGCACAATACGGTTGTTTACATCACATGTACATATAAATAGTACTTTAAAAAATTGATCTACATTATTTGTCGCTACGCTCCAGATCAACTAATAAAAGATCGATCGTTTCTTATTTAGATTACATTTTCATAGGTGGTGAATGGAAAAATGCGCCACAAAATATTACTTATTTCGTATTATATAACCCATGCTTTTTTCGACATTTAGGGGTCCTTTTTTCTCGTTTCCATTATAAAATCATTTCGGCGTTATTAAGTATTGCTCTCCCGAAGGTAGCAACCATACACTGATTTTTACTACAAGACTTTCTCTCATTCTTCTAATTGTTTATATTACTTTTGATACCTAATCTCTAGTCATGCCACTTTCTCTTTTGCGTCTCACTTTCGCATCATTACTTTTGATACCTAATCTCTAGTCATGCCACTTTCTCTTTTGCGTCTCACTTTCGCATCATAGGTTGACCAAATAATATTTCTAAACGTGGATAAATAAATCAATAAAATTATGAAAAATTATGTTATAAAGATAGCAACATAACCTAAACGGTTTACTTGGTGAAATAATATTGATATAAAAAAATATTTTATATATAAAAAGTGTATAAAATAGATAAAATTTTAAGACCTAAAACGATATGGTCGTGATCATTACCAGCAGCATCCATTTTCTTTATAAAATCAACTTCAGGAATACAACATTGAGTTTCTTTATTGGGTATAATAGCAATGCTATTTATTATTTTTTATTTAAATAAAAATCAATTTATTTTTATTTCTTTAGAGGATCTGTGCAATTAAATTTGGATAAAAAATGTAATTTTTTTTAGAATTATTACTGACAAGACAATTGCTCTTGAAGTCGAATTATTTCACAGCATTGAGAAATTTTTATTAGGGTAAACATTCCCTCTGATCAGCAACATCTCATTTTTGCCGGCAGACAATTAGAAGACTTCCATACTTTGTAGATCCAGAAGGAGTCAACTTTGCGTATTATACTTTGATTCAGACTCAGCAGTGGTCAAATATTCCTATTTTTGTTAATTTCTTTCAAGATTTAACCAAATCTAGTGTGTTTAGGCCATGGAATGATAATGCACCATGTTGGAAGTATGCTGTGGGTGGCCTTAATCTTGAAGGTAGATGCTTTATATTACTTGATCAAATAGAGATAAAATAAGTTCAATAAACGTTCTCTTTTACCAAGGATATTGTAAGAATAATTTATGAGAAGCTTACGGAAAAGGCCAGAGTAATAATTAAATGAGGTTACCAAGATTTTCATTTTATTTTCAAAATGAGCATAAAATCTCGATGTCCGATTTGTAATAAATACGTAAAACCTATCACCTGCGAATTCATTAACACACATGGTGCAACCAGCTTTATTCGAGAGTTACCGTAAACTGTTGACTCTTGTGACTGAGTACTGTACCCAGGATACAGAAGCAGGGAATATACATTGGTTGAACTGCTATATACATATATATATGTGCGTATATAGATATCCCCGGGTACTTCTCTTTGAAGTATACAATGTTTAGTACCCGGGTATAAATCAAAATTAAGCACTAAATCTCACCGAGTATAAATCATAGGGGTACTCGAGTCAACAGTTTACGGTAATGTACAAAATGTACTGTACTCTTCTAGCTTAGCTTACATAATTAGGTGAGCTGTGATTTAACACTGATCATTGGATATTATGGTCAGTCCCGGTCCGGTCTCGGTCCTAGTAGAAGACCGCGGGCTGGACCGGTCCATAAATTGGTCTATTGGCTGGTTTTCAAAATAAGCTATGTGTAATGATCGCTGCATACTTACAGCTATCATCATAAATTCGAAAAAATTGCCAATGACCGAATCGACGAGTTACAGAGTCAAAAATCAATAAGTTACTGAATTAGACCGACATCGGAAACTTATAGATACAGTCATCGACAATTTTTTTTTATCAATGAGATCATTCTATAAGCTATGGATTGTCCAGACTGGTCCAAAAGACCGGTTCGGACCGTGCCCTTGCAGGACCCTAACATAGTTTCAATTTATAAATAAAATTCTATGAAAAACTCAATTCGAGTGTTAAAATTTTTTGAATTTTAATAAATGCACGTGGGTTGATGCTAAAATCGGACGATAGCAAAGTTTGAGATCTCTATTTGAATATAGATTAAAATTAACACATGTTCTTTAAAAATGTATTTCAAAAATTTTAAGATTTCATACGTATTAAAATAACAAACTACAAACTTTAAACAAATCTAAATTACAAAGAATCGTACAATATATATTTAGACATCACAAATTTGATAATAAGTTAAATATCACTGGTTTAATTTAATACAGTATTTATCGATCTCATTTTAAGATGTTTAGCACGTCGGAATTAATTTAATTTTAGAGATACCAATCTTGAAACTTTTGATGCTCGAATAAAGGGTTAATTGGTTGCATGTAATCTAACATTTATATCGATTTGAAAAGAATAACCCGTTTACCTGGTATTTATTCATTACGCTCGATTATAGGTTCATTTTATGTTAATTTTCAGGACTCATATATTTAGTGTAACTCCCGTACAACACAATGTATGATAAAATACTGTATATAGTAATAAAATATGAAAATAGGCTAAAAACTAGGTGTGCGTGTACAAATTAAGTAATTATAATGTTACACATTGTCTGTACAAGATCTAAATGGGGACCATAAAAATTCAAATTAATTTCAACAAATCAAACCGCATTAAACCGTATTTATCACTAATCGTCTGCGAATGGTAAGACTTACACCTTCATCTCTTTGAAATTTCGTTATAAAGATTTCTTGTACAGGTTAGTGGTTTTTTTCCTTTCTTTCTTAATTCTCCACGATATTTAAAATACCTTTTGATACGTTTTTTCATTTTTAAAGCTAAACCACAATTTTTTTTTGATCAAATTCTTAATTGAAGCCTTATATTTTCCTTTTTTTTTTTTTTTTTTTTTCTTAAACAACGTCCATCCATGTAAAAAAAAATATATCTGGTCATTTCATTCACTTATTTTCGCAAATTTATAATAAATCACTTTTAGTCTATCAAAACATTATATATTATTATCAAATTATATTAAATTGATCACCTTTGGTTTATCCTAGCACACCTGAAAAAAAAAAAAAAAATCCCCCTATTAATTTCTTTGTCGATTATTCATTCACCTTTTGTAATACCTTTCATCAGCCACTATAATACGTCATTAGTTAAAGAGTAATAATTCTTCTCAATCATTACAAGTCATCCATGGAAACGACGCAAGCAGCGCCTCATCTTCCACCAGAAACACTGGTAGAAATCTTTAGTAGTGTTGGAGAATATAATATAAAATCATTATATTCTTGTCTCCTTGTAAATAAATTTTGGTGTGAGAGTGCTGCTTTAATGTTATGGAAAAGACCATTTGAAGTAACTTCATTAAGAGCTTCAGCAAAATTGGTCAGCATATATTTTTTATTCTTTTCTAAAGAGACGAAAGCTAAATTACTTAACGTCGATGGAATAGATGTATCTCATCCAACATTACAACAACCGAAAATAAATTATTTGGCATATTTAAGGCATATTGACTTTAACATGGTGTATCGTGCTGTACGCATGTGGGTTAGTTATCAAACATTAAATGAACCTTTTAATTTAGAACTCAAGAAAAAACAAAATAAGCAATCGAACCGTATTATAGAGGAACTAGGAAAACTTTTCACAAATGGATCATCACTTTATAAATTATCACTTAACACAAGATCATTTGAATACATGCCGAAAGATGAAGAACCAGATTATAAATCATGGCCATATTATTCTGGTACATGTAATTCAACATATGAACTTCGAGAATTTGTATGCGGTGGACAATTTTCAAAAGATTATATTCTGCAAAAATTATCAGAATTATGTAATGAAATTGAAATAGTTTCTATTTATGATTCTTGTGGAACATCACCGCAAACCTTGATTGATTTTATTAAAGCACAAATGAGGTTAAAACAAATAACTTTAACAAATTGGCAAACAGATTCTTTCAGTACCTTATCATCAATATCAACACAAGTACGAACATTTCGACAAATAGAATTTATTCGATGTAGTTTTCCAACTACAGAAAATAGTGCAAGATTTTTCAATGGATTAGCGAAATGTAGTAATTTACAAGTATTAAAATTTGAAAATTGTAATAATCTGAATGCTACATTAATGAAACCATTAGCGAAAGCAGAATTTCCAAACCTAAAGACATTAAGTATAGATAATGATTTTAATAAAGATACACCATCAATGGAACTTAAGTCGATTATAGAAAATTGTAAAGAAACACTTAAGGAGATTATTCTACGGATTAATTTATCATTTTATGCAGATATGTTAGAAACTATAGCAAAATTTTGTCCTGGACTTCTTAAATTAAGTATAACGATTGAAAGGGATACAGAGATGCAACAACTTATCACATTATTTAGTTCTTGTAAAGAAATGATAGAATTAATAATTCATCGAAGGCATATATTATTTGATCCTTGGTTTTATCCTTGCAAATCTTTAGTAAAACTTGGGGGTGTTATACCATCATCATTACGTAGATTAGAATTAATCGGTATTGAATTTGATCATCTGACATGGAACGAATTTTTAAACATTTGCCCAGGATCGATTAATTATTTTGTTTTTGACCACCATAATACAAATTATGTTAAACATGTGGAAAACTATGCAATGCGACATAATAAAGTCATCAGGGCTAAAGGAACTGTAGAGCACTCAACTGGGCAAATGTTTGTAGAATTGAGATGAAACATGGTATAAAAAAAAAAAAAAAAGAGATAATATACGTAAGCAAAAAAAATTTTTTATGATTTCTACATATAATATTCGATTTATTAAATTACATAAATTACATACTCGCAATGTTTATAAATATGGACTAAATTTGAGGTACCTGTATCTGAATGGACTTATATAATATTGACATTCATTTAATTATTTAATAACAAAAATTCATACCTGATCTTTCGAGTGCTTTAGAACAATCATATACATATACGAAAATTTATTTATTTATTCTTTTTTCCCATTAATATTTCTTACCTGAGGAGATAAACTAAGCAAGAAATATATTAAATGAAATATATTAAATATATATATATATATAACTGGAACAGAAAGATTTTCTTACATTATGCGAATAACCTAAAAACCTACTATCCGAACATTTTTCTGCCATATCCATGGACTTTGAACTTTGTGCGTTTGCTGTATCTTCTTAACATTAAATAATATTTATCATTTTTCTAGCTATTACAATTGACGATGTTTATGTATGAAGATAATAAGGACAATTATAAGTTATCAAAAGGTAATCACTACGCACACAGTTATATTATCAGGAGTGCAGCGGAGGACGTTTAATGTTAATGTGATACAAGTTACTTCTTTTTGATGCACCAACAATTATGTTTTTGATCTTCTCTACACCTTTGACAAAAATTTCGTACTTCCCATCACCAAATAAGTATCTAAATATTTTAAATAAGTACGTACTGTACGTACGTACGTTCATGTCAAAGTGTAATTTATCAAAAAATATAATTTTAAAAACGAATGCGTCAAAAGTTATGCTTTTTCGATTACTTTGCAGTATTATCAGTATATCAGTATTATCGATACTCCAAATGTAATAAACATACGTGCAACATATAATGTTAATACATTAAAATATTAGAAACGGACTGCTTCGAAATTATTTAAATTTTGTAAATTAAAAGATTTAGTACACTAGGGTGTTCGTAATACTATGTAGAGCAAACTATGAATGATATAATATAAAAAATAAATTATTGAAGACTTTTTTAATTTTTATATCGATATATAACTTATATAGATTTTAATAGAATAAAGAATGGCGTGAATATTTTTAGATGTCTAGACCGAATCGGTTTACTTTTTTCAATTATTTTAGCATAAATCCATTCTTAACCGCATTTATAACAAAGTTACGTTGTTTTTAACTTTTAATATTTAAATTTTTATTTTTTGTTAAGTGAGGTCTTGCCTCGAGTTTCTTTATTTACTATTTGTATATGTGAATGTGGATATATTGTTTTACAATGTAGTACTGAGTCGAGACCTTAGTCTGTGATACTTTCTAATGTGTTATATTTTTGCGAATCTTTCGGATCAAGTTTGAAATTTCTTTGTTGCCTTGTAGTCTTGGTGAGTGTTCTAATGTTCCTTATTCTGAGATGTTGTCATTTCTGATTGAGTTGATATTTAAATTTCAAATTGACTACAAAATTCTGATTATTTTATAAACTATTCAAAAAAAAAAAGGATTTTTCGTTGCAGATAAAAATTATAAAATGTTTTAAAGTAACTTATTAAAATTATTGAAAAAGTAAGGTGATTCAGTCTAAACATCTAAAAACATTCAATTCATTCTTTATTATTAAATATATATTATATATATATATATATAAAATGATAAATAATTCCGATTACTATTCTGATCACCAAAAAAATTCTTCAATGATTAATTTTCATAACACATATTTTTGATTTACATAGCATACCAATTGTACACTCTAATCAAGATGAAGGCTTATAAACTAACATATACGTATTAAAGTATATCGATGGATCACATTATATTGATACGTATAACTTAATTTCTAATGATTTAATTGTATTAGAAATGGATGGTGACATGAATACGACGCGATTGCGTGCTAAGTCATAAGATGTACTCCCCTCTATTTAGCAAAATGTTAATGTACAAAGTGACCAATTATGCACTCCCAACTGCACTCCTGACGTACGTCTTACGTACCATTAACAAACCCAATATCTGATATATTTTCGAATGTATTTATTAATCTTTTCAAATTTTCAAGAGCGATAATAAATTCTGAAAATTGTGCAATAAAAGGAGCAATGTACCACACACAAGATCTTGAATCATGAGAAATTACGGCCGAGTTACCTGTTCACCAGCTTGTTTGCTTCGCAATCGCAGAGCAGTAAATACAGTAATCGTCGGCTGTTATATGTTTGTGTGATACGTACGACGACATCAATAATTTCATTATCAATAGCGACAGTTAGCCAACATCACGTGACGTTGGAAATTTGACACGAAAATAAGAAGCAACTAAACCTACCTTTTTGACCAATTCGGCGTGTATATATAGTAGGATCTTTTGTTCAGATAAGCGAAAATTGAAGCTTTACAATACTTGTATACTAATGCATATTGTGCAATGGATAAATGCTATTAACTACAGGAACATATAAATATTAAAATTCGTCTACTAGTATGTAATTTAAACTAATTGAAAAAAATATGGATATGATAAATTTTTAATCGAACATAACATTTGGAATATAGCCAAATCTACTCAAAAACATGGATATAAATTCTCGTCTTGCATCTTGACTCAACTCAATTCATAAAAATCATTATTTCGTTATCAATTTCATCTTTATTTATCAGCCATTTAACCTGTTCCAGCACATGGTTACAAACAGTATGCCTTGCCTTATCATATACACATCTTTAGTTACAAATGATAATTTGACCAGTTATTTTTATAAATATTTTTGTTAATAGTAATCTGATCAAAGCAGTGATATATAAGGAGATATCATTATCGTATATCCAAGATGAAAAAAAAAACCGTGAGTAAATATACGGGATTACCGGAGGAGATACGCTTGTGTTTACTGAAGAACTATAGCATTTATTGTTCAGATGTAATAAATATTTAGATAATTTAAAAATTTTGAAATTTGAAAATTTACGTGATCTTAATGGTCAAATTTTTTTTAAAATATATATATTCGTATTAACCTTATAAAAAAATAAGGGTGAAGACAAACAAATCACCAGATTAGGAATGAAGTATGGTTTAAGAAATCTTCTGTTTACTGTTAAACAATTACCGTTATTGTGCTTAATATTATTATAATTTAACCTAAATTTTTTTTATACAGTATATATAATCAAAATATATACGTATATATATTAAAATTACTCTTGTATACAAACACCAGTTATTATTTTAAAAATAATGAGCCAAATTATAATATATAACAAAAAAAAATTATAAATATTTAGTGTTAAGTATTTATAAAAATGACTTTTGTCGTATAACTTAAATAATACGTACTGTACGTATATATATTATATCAGATATATAGTAAATAATTTGTTTACATAGAAAAAAGCCAGTTATCGTTGTGATATATACCTTTTAATATATATGCATAGAGTACCTAGTAAATAATGTAGATCTTATCAGTTAAAATTATACGTAACGGTAACTTAGTTTTAAGATTGAGTTTGTAACGTATCAGTGTAACGCAAAAAAAACCGTCGGATTTGGTAGCGGTAGTCTATTTACTCTATTACTAACGCTAATGTTAATGGATTTATATTAGTGATAACAAGGCGGAGAGCACTGTAAAAGTCTTCTCTAAACGAGATCTAATTTTACATGTAAAAGATGAGATATTTTAGTACAAATTTCCTCTAATTAGCTGATGTATCAACTTCTTAAAGATGCGGATAATGGGAAAAAAAAAACGGCAAGCACAAAATAACAGGCAATGTGGACACGAATAAACATACAAAACATGTAACAAACACAAATCCACAAATCTTCTTTAAATATGGAGCAAGGAGATGGTCAAAAAATTATATATTTTTTGATTTTATCTTGAATTTTTTTTAAAAAAAATTTTTTTTGGCCTTTTCTGTAGAGTCCTATATAATATTTAACATCCTTTTCCATGCCAAATATTTTTCAAACATGAGTTCTATCTGCCCAAAAAAATTTTCAGACTTGCCAGTTGAATGCGTTCACAAGATTATAAACAGCGCCGAAGATAAGAAAAAAGTTCTTTACAAATTTTTGTTTGTCGACAAGTGGTTACATGAAATCGCTATATCATTATTATGGAAGGACCCTGCTATGTGCGAATCCATAATAAAAAAATATCTTAACGAGCTGAACGAAGACGAACAAAAAGTACTTGTACCCCAGAAGTTTGATTTTCCTCTTACCCAATCGTATTCAAGATGTGCACCATATTTGGTGAAGCTCGATT